GTAATATTGGAAGATTTTCGTTAACAATTAAGATACTCGGCCACTCCAAGCCTGTGTGGAAGAATAAAAGGACCTACTAGAGTATTTCCTAAAATTCCCATCCAAACGTTTAAACTGACATTATGTTGACATCTTGAAACAAATATTTCATGAGTATTTTCTTCCGACCATGAATGAACATTATGAAGGTTTATTGCACCTACTGTAGGAAAATTTGCTTCATCGGTGAAAAGTATATTCATTAGGAAATTTAAGTCATGCCCGGAAATATTAATGTACCATTGACAAAAATCCACACGGTTAGGTAAATCAGAGTCATTCAATTCTTGCACAGGTTGAAATCAATTGGTACTAATTATTGGTTGACAGAAAATGTCAATTTATTAATATGATAAATAATAATTTATTTGTTATGACATCCGCCTACTTTATTCTTACAAATTTTCACAATTACCCCTTTAGTGAACGATGAGGCATTTAATTTTTTTACTAGAAAACTATCGGTTTTATCAAAAAATTAGAAGATGTAAAAAAGTTGCGCAATAAATCAGTCTTCCTAATAAATATTTTGAAATAAATAATTTGCTTCATATAAAAAATTTCTAATAAAATATTGCAGTGGTGTTGACTGTTTCCCTCCTTTATAAAATACGCCAATGATCGAACAAATATTGAAAAGTTGCCTCTTTATTAGTAGGATGCTCATACCAAGCTTCGTGTCTCTAGCATTCCTCATGTTAAAGAAAAAAATGTGAATAAGGTATTTTTACTTCAATCCTTTTTTTTGGCTCTACATTCACTGGTACCATTTTTGCTACTTCATTTAAAAATACCCTGTATTTCTATTAGATAATTCACAAATATATATTGACAAATTGAATATACCTTACCGTCTTGCATCACATGAGGATGAGATGTATGGTTCACGATTGAAATATAGTTTCTAACATCTACAGCGTCTTCAGTGTTTAAAGATTCCGGATTCACTTTGTGGATAATAGGGGTTTCCCCGAAAGCGTACAACTCGTCGCCAAAGGGGTACACTGATATCATAGAGTTGTCTAAAGGTCCAACGTTAAACATGGCTGCGATTCTAAAATTTCGATCGACTTTAAGCTACGCACTAAAGTTTTTTCACTGTCGAATACCTCTGAAAAATCGTGTGACAGGGATCTGGCACCGATTTTGTTCCGAACTGTGTGGTGACGATCCTTTTTGCTGTAAACATTTGTTTGAACGTTTCGGAACGTAAAAATCTGCACTGGTAAGTTACTTCGCCGTTTTTTATCCCAAATCTGAAATAAATCGCTTAGTACGGAGAACCAAAGTTCTTCTAGGTCAAAATAGCAGTTTGAAAATGATTTATTGGCACTGGATACAAAATAGTTCAACTGGTTTACAAGAAATACGTCTATAAACCATTTTCAACACCATGCAGTGAGGAATCGGTATCTAAACGTTTTATTTTGACCTAGGAAGGAGCATCGTGTCGAAGTTTGTCCATCACATTAAGGGACAGTTTGTATAAAACAACAGAGCATAAGTTCGTACCTATGCAATAGCGCCAAGCTATCGAAAAGATGTGCAAATTCATGATCACCGACCTTCAGTAAGCCTGGACCGTTCCGAATCAGAGAACCGTTAAGCCAGTTTGGAATGTCGCCTAAGGATATTGTTCTTGTCAAAAGTACCCTTACTAATAGGACCTTTTACCTGTAATTTTGCCTTGTAAGGGTCCAATTACTTCCTCTTCGCATGATCGTAACCAAACGTTTGCGTCACAGTTAGGATACAGCTTTGTTTCTTTATTTGATGGGGAACTAATTTTCTAGAAACAAGTACACTTTATTTTTAAGGTTTTAGCAATAACAAACAAAAATTATAGTTGCCACCTGATCGTGACTGTTAGTCTACACTGGACACTGGACAGTGGATACTGGACGCAAAGTCCGTGACGGGAGGATAGTCCAGTGGAGTATATATTACATTTCTTTACAAACATTCAACTATAATCTGCAGTCTGTTTCCTTTTTCAACAGAAGAAAATCATTTTTAATATGTGTATAATTATGTTTATACGTACATCTTTTTTTATTAAAAATATTATGTATCTGGTATAGACGAATGTTTTTTAGAAATAAATAAAACAAAATAAAAATATCAACTTTTCCAATAATGAACAAACAACATACAGACCGACAAAAATAAGTTTGCACTAAGGCAGAGCTGCGCAAGATTGAAAAAGCAAGCATTCGGTTAGAAGAAATTGTACGCAGGAGCGCAAATGTCTCCATCTGTCGTGCTGTCTCCCAACTGTGCCATTCAAATGGCAACAGTAGGAAGTGACCTGCTATATTGCAGGTACTTGTTGCACGACTGCCACCCACAGAGGGCGAAGACAATGTTTTAATTGTCAGTGTTGCGAGAAACAACTACTCCGAGGGCTATGTGCCCCTACCGGCATTGAATTATACTCGCAACACCTAGTGCAACAGCTAGGGTCGTTCGTCAGTTTACCCACCAGGCACAGACCGGTTTCGGACTTATTAGTCCTCATCAGTGTCATAGGTGAGACAACCGACGGACGAACCAGCTGTTTTGCGTCGTATCGTCACGACGAAAAAAAAAAATAATAAGAAGCAGTTGCCGTGTCCAGTGCGTATTTGTGGGCGGAGCTACCTCAGAAACAAACTTATTTGTGTCAGTCTGTACGTACATCAATAAAATATGTTTTTCAATGAAATTTGTGCACAGTAAAAATTATAATTCGTTTTCGCTGTTTTGATTATTGTTTATAGCTAAATATTTACGTAGAGAACGTACATACATCATTAAATAATATATGTATAAGTTTATAATTTTCATGTAAGGGCGGCAGCCACCCTTAGCTTTGAGGACCAGAAATATACAGTATATTAATACGATTTATGAATCATTTGAATCTATAGGTGTAAATTTTAACATTTCTGTTGTAGTTAAAAAGTTGGAAAACAACTTATTAAAGAAAAAATATACACGGTGATTCACAACTTATCCAAAAAAATTTGGGATTAGATAAGTCAATATCGTAAAAAAATGTTTCGTAAAATCCATTTCCGAGAAGCAAATTATTGAAGTTGTGGTATTTAAAACCCTTACATCTCTTAGTCTCTAACGTCATTCGCTTTGTGCTCGTACGCAATCCGCTCACTATCCACGTGGCAGCAGAGACGATTCCAAACACTGAAATCCGAATTTAGTATTAACATTTTTGCGATAGTGTTTACATTACTTTTTCGTGTCAAAAATGGCTCACGTGTATAGCAACACGGAGTTGATGGTGTTGTTTTAATTTATGGTGAAGTATTTGTGTTATGGTGAATCAATACAACATTTGTGTTAGTTCGTAGAAACCTAGTACGAAGGGCCCAATGTGTTTAACGTCGGTGGACAAAATTTTCAACAATTTTATTAATTAATAATGACAATTGCGGCAAAAACCGTTGAATTTGCTAGTATAAAATAGGTGTTACAACTTTTTTTCCTTGTACAGATTTTTCATTACAAAAAGGTACATATCTACAATGTATATGTAATTTTTGCTGTGTAATAGAAAATTTTAAAAAAATACTTATTTTTTATTATACCTGTGCATTTTGTGATNTAATTTTCATGTAAGCCACCCTTAGCTTTGAGGACCAGAAATATATATCCAGTATAGTAATACGATTTACGAATAACTTGAATCTATAGGTGTAAATTTTAACATTTTCTGTTGTAGTTAAAAAGTTGGAAAATATCTCATTAAAAAAAAAATATACACGGTGATTCACAACTTATCCAAACAAATTTGGGATTACATAAGTCAATATTGTAAAAAAATGTTTCGTAAAATCCATTTCCGAAAATCAAATTATTGAAGTTGTGGTATTTAAAACCCTTACATTGCTGGGCTACCGTAGTCTCTAGCGCCATTCGCTTTGTGCTCGTACGCAATCCGCTCACTATCCACGTGGCCGCAGGGGCGATACCAAATACTGAAATCCGAATTTAGTATTAACGTTTTTGCGATAGTGTTTACATTACTTTTTCGTGTCAAAAATGGTTCACGTGTATAGCAACACGGAGTTGATGGTGTCGTTTTAATTTATGGTGAAGGAAGATGGTAATTTTCAACAATTTTATTAATTAATAATGACAATAGCGGCAAAAACCGTTGAATTTGCTAGTATAAAATAGGTGTTACAAAATTTTTTTCCTTGTACAGATTTTTCATTACAAAAAGGTACATATCTACAATGTATATGTAATTTTTGCTGTGTAGGTAATAGAAAATTTTAAAAAATTACTTATTTTTTATTATACCTGTGTATTTTGTGATTTTGTGCTTCTCTAGAATAGAAATTAATATACCATAAAAACTCAGTACATACTTACCTCCCTTTTTATAAAACTCATCTGTTTCCGCTGAGGTAACGGAGACCATGTAAATATCGGACTAGTCTGTCCCGAAGGGCCTTTCCTATTTTCCATTTCTCTAAACTTATGCATTTTTAATTCTGAAATTAAGAACACGAACTTGACACTACTCTCCTCTGACGTCACCTCCTAATTGAATTAAAAGCCGGTTATATAAGGAAGATGGGATATTGATTTCTCAAGCGCTAATCCAATTTACAGAGGAATGAAGCAAAACAAGAATTTAAAAAGGAAATTAATTAGACTTTTATTCAGGACTTTTCACAATATAAATTTATTAAAACTAACTAATACTAGATAATTCTCAGTGCTAATTCCCCTTCGAATACCTTTTCCAAAATTTCTTCACGTCGTCGTGCGCGTATTTGTTTATGACTAACGTCCTTTTTTCCTTGTTGCACCATATTAACGAACCGTTGGACTGAGCGTACTCTTTCAGAACGTTAAAATCGGCCTGGAATAAAAGAAAATTTCGTGCATTATCTCATTATTGCCGATTTTTATTTTTTATATCAGTTACCATCTAGATTACAAGGCCTAACAGTATCGCGCGTGACGTCACATCAGTGGTGATAGATATTCGGTGAAACATTAAATGTCCTAATTGGAGTTAAAAAATGTTTAAAAAGGCTTCTAAATGGCATTGACATTCGAGAATTGAGCCTTTTGGCATATCCAGTTGATATTTTTTTATATAAAGCCTCACAGCTTCATCCATAACGTCACTTCAGTATCGATATACAGGGTATAGTAAAAGTACCGGAACGGCAGAATAACTTGGCGGGAGAGCATTTTAAAGGAAAATGTTAAATACAAAAGTTTCAGGATTTCTCCCTGGCTATCCGATGGTGACCTTGACATTGACCTTGAAGATCATTTCAAGGTCAAGTGTGATTTTTCAAATGGGATCCTATAGTTTGACCCCAGAAATGAAAAGAGCAGAAAATTTTACGTTCAGATATGACCTTGAGCGACTCCTCCCTTTTGACCTTGGGGCCCCCACAAGCTCAAACTAACAAAAGTGTACTGGAACAGCAGAATAACTCGGCGGGAGAGCATTCTAGAGGAAAATATTAAATACAAAAGTTTTAGGATTTCTCCCTGGCTATCCGATGGTGACCTTGACACTGACCTTGATCTTGAAGATCATTTCAAGGTCAAATGTGATTTTTCAAATGGGACTCTATACTTTGACCCCAGAAATGAAAAGCAGAAAATTTTACGTTCAGATATGACCCTGAGTGACCCCTCTCTTTTGACCTTGGCCCCCCCACAAGGTCAAACTAACAAAAGTACAGGAACGGAAGAATAACTTGGTGGGAGAGCATTTTAGAGGAAAATGTTAAAAACTAAAGTTTCAGGATTTCTCAATGACTATTCGATAGTGAGCTCGACATTGACTTGAAAATCATATTTGCCCTTGAAATGATCTTCAAGGTCACCATCGGATAGTTAGCGAGAAATCCTGAAAAGTTTGTAATTAACATTTTCCCTAAAATGCTCTCCCGCCGAGTTATTCTGCCATTCCGATACTTTTGCTATACCCTGTATAGTCAGTATAACATTTCATAAGTTTTTTTTAATTTAAGCTAGAAATATGTTTTAAAAGGCTTCTAAACGGCATTGGCAGGCTAGAATTGAGCCTTGATATTTTTTTAATGTAAAGCCTCACAGCTACGACTCACGTGACGTCACTTCAGTGATGACAGATAGTCATTTAATAAGTTTTTTGGATTTGAGTTAGAAATTTCTTATACAGGGTGGGCCATTTTAATATACGCACCCGTTTCTCCGTATCTACGCGATACGGACAATGTTCAAGACAATGGGGGCTTTGACCTTGAGATTAATTTTCAAGGTCATTCCTAGGTCGGCGTTTTTTAAAATAGGAACCCTTATTTTTGACACCGGATTCGAAAAGAACGGGAAATTTTACGTCCAATATGATATTTTCAAGTTTGTTTTCGAGACCTAGAGAAGGTTAATTCAAGGGCAAATGCTAAAAAACTGCCTGGTAGCTGTTTATTTGTTTTATGGCGGAATAAACTGTGGTGAAGGTACCTTTATGGGAAATATCAACCTCAAATATGACGATGACCTTAACAATGTTAACCTTGTGGTCATTTTTAAGGTCATTTTAATGTTGATGTTTTATTTTTAATGGAAGGAAAACTTTGTTTTTGACACCGTATTAAAAAAAAGGTGAACAATTTAACGTCAGAACTGAAATTTTAATTGTTCTTGTTGTTCCGACCTTGAGAAGGTCAAATGTTGGATATTTGCTTGCTAGCCGTTTATTTAATTTTTTGGGCTGATTTAACGTTGTGAAGGTACCATTAAAAGGAAGATCAAACTCAAATTTGACAACGACCTTGACCTTAAGGTCAATTGTCAAGGTCACTTGAAGGTCCCTGTGTTTTTTTAACCCAAATTTTATTTTTCCTACTTCAATATCCATAAAAATTCAGTACACCTGTACAAACTGAAGCCAACGATTTTTTTTACGTCGTCATCCTCACCTGCGACAAAAACTGACTGTACAAAACCCCCTCGTTGTAAGTGAGCCTGTTCCTCTCCATCTCCCACAGTTTGATTTGATCGACGACGGTGGGCGGCAGTGGTTGCTTGTTCTCGGCCTGCAGCATCTGGGGGTGAGCGTGTTGCTTGAGGTAGCCTATTATCTGGTCCGCGGTGATGCCCCCTCGGAAAGCCTGTCTCACCGACTCCCGGGTTATGACGCCTACCACTAAATTCGGAAATCTGGAAAACGAAATCGACTGCCGCAATAGAAAATTTTCGTCGGAAGTAGCCGTGTATACCTGTACATGAGGTCGGTGAAGAGGCCTATCAAGGCCACCTGCAAATTGGAATCTGTATAGGCGTAGACCCTGTAATTCGTTTCGACGATGATGTACCCCTTGGGGGCGTCCTCCTCTAAGTCGGCCGCGCCCTTGCTTTGGCTGCAGGTGATGTTGAGCGCCAAGCGCGTCGGGTAGAACCGGCCCGCTTTGCGCTAATATAGAAAAAAAGTCGAAAAGACAGTGGTTCGCTTTCAGGATTAGTTTGACAAAAAGACATTTACCTTTCTCTGGTACACCAAGCCAAATTCTCTGAGGTGCTGTAGGAAAATCAGTAAACCGGGACTCATACCTTCAGTACTGTAATCCTAAAAATTAATGTTTATTCGCTATTTGGACAACAATTTTGTAAATGTTACACAATGGTGGTCCGACTATTTTTATTGAGCTTTTAGAATTAGTGGATTACCAAACAACAACGATAATTTGTTGTATGATTCTGATAAAAAATAAAATAAATAAAAAACTACACATCTTAAAAAGTAAAGAAAATATTACAAAAAAAAGTGTTAAAAAATATGTATTAATTCGTTTGAGGAAATTTGTAATACATGATAATATAAAAAGACATTAAAGAATAAAATTTGATAAAAGTTCCCTAGAATTTTACTGTACTCTCATTTTCATTTTCGGAATAACGCTGTCACAATGTAAATTTTAATATGGCGCCAGAGCTCTAAAAATTTTTTTCGGAAAAACAAGAGAACAAGGGTCTCACAAACTTGAAAATAGATTAATCCCATAATTTCAAAGAAATCGAAGATATCAACAAATTATCATAATTTCTTGGAAATTTACCTGTTCCCAAACTTCGACTAAAAAAAATCGAACCACTCACGCTAGCTTCAAACATTACCTTTCCTAACGTACTAAAACTAAGTTGGAATAGAAACGTCAAACATTCCACCAGATCTAAGCCTCGCTCCTCGACCGTATCCAGGTACTGTAGCAAGAAATGCCAGACTTGCGCCTGCCGATCTAACAATAAAAATTGGAATCCTTGTCTGGTTATCACAGGGCTGCCATCTTCCTCATCGCTAAGGAATATCACACGATATCATACAAAAAGCACATACACAAAAAGTATTACCGTTTCATAAGGTTCGCGTGTAGCAAAATTCTCACAGCATCTGCGGAAATCCCTTCCTGCTGCTGCGACCCCACCATATAATGCAGAACACATTCCCACCTCTCCAAGGAATAAGCGTCTAAGAAAGTTACATCTCTCGCTTTACTATCTGCCTCTAACGCAGACGACATACTCCATGGTTTACCCCTAATAGGTATTTATTATTAGAAATGTACATTATCTGAACGTTTAATACCATACCCTCCAAGTAGTGCCACTTTGAGGTTTCTTTTAAACGTCGATGAGAGTATCCAACCTAAAAGACCGCCGGGAATAGCAGCCTCCTGCCATACCGAGAGCTCACTCAGTACTTTACTTACATACACGTGTTCTCTAAAAAATTAACATTAACTATTTAATTTTAACCGTGTCAATAAATACACTTACTTGGAAAAAGCTTGCGAACCCCAGGAGGCTACGACGGCTTGTGGAACAGGTTGTTCTACAAAAAGTATCCTTATAACATATTGTCGGGCTAATTCAGGTAATTCTCTAAAATCATCAGCAATTTTAGAACAATAGCAATCTCCTAAATGAGTACTAGCTTACCTATACACAGCTAAACATATAGTGGGGTGATTGTACAGTTTCTCAAGTACATTCGGCGATCGGGTCTTTAGGTAATCGTAAAGGTTTTTACACTCTAAATTGGTTTGTTTGATTAAAGTACTCTCGTGGCTGGAAGAACCTAAACCATTATCTGCCATTTAAAATAGTTTTGAACAAACTAAACCTGTATTTATTTACAATTCTTGATTGTTTGTGAATCATTTATAGGTTAGGATATGTATTTTATCGTAAATAAGACATTCCGGCTTAACAGAGAAGCACAGTTCCACAATGTCTAAGATATAAATGTAGAAAAGGGCACTGTTGTGGCACATACGTTTGTTTATTTAAAAGGAATTGGCTTTAGGTAAAATACTAGAAAAATGTATTTTAATTAAAATGACTTTAGTCGGATGGTCGGAATTTGGAGGGGAGTACTGAAACACAGAATTGATCCAGGTTTGACAATAGACGGTAAATAAAAACACTAAGGTTAAGACTGGATCCACATGCTTACGTGATNACTGATTTATTGCGCAACTTTTTTACCTCTTGTAATTTTTCGATAAAACCGATAGTTTTTTAGTAAAAAAATTAGATGCGTCATCGTTCACTAAAGGGGTAATTGCGAAAATTTTTAAAAATAAAGTAGGCGGATGTCAACAAATAAATTGTTATTGGGACATGTATTAGGTGAAGTTATTTATCTGAAATAAAATTTAATACAAACGAAAAACAAGAAGTGCAAAATTAAATTAAAGAATATTCTCGAAATAATTTCCATTTTGCTGCAAGCATAACCTAATAGTCTGTTGAAGTTATAACGCACTCGCACAAACAATTCTTGGTTATTACGAAGGTCATCTGCTGCCTGAAATATTCTTAAGAGTAGTTCTTCTAAGGAGGCAACATGAGTGGCATAAACAATTCTTTTTATGTGTCTCTACAAAAAGAAATCCATAGGAGTTAGGTCAGGTGAACGTGCAGGCCAACAAACAGGGCCATCACGACCACGACCAATCCAGCAATTCGGATAATTTAAATTTAACCATTCTCTAACGGCAAGTGGCCTGTGCAGGTGCCCCATCGTGCATATACCACATCACCTGAAGTGTAGTGAGGGATACATCCTCAAGTAATGTTGGAAGATTTTCGTTAAAAAATCTAAGATATTCGGCCACTCCAAGCCTGTGTGGAAGAATAAAAGGACCTACTAGAGTATTTCCTAAAATTCCCATCCAAACGTTTAAACTGACATTATGTTGACATCTTGAAACAAATATTTCATGAGTATTTTCTTCCGACCATGAATGAACATTATGAAGGTTTATTGCACCTACTGTAGGAAAATTTGCTTCATCGGTGAAAAGTATATTCATTAGGAAATTTAAGTCATGCCCGGAAATATTAATGTACCATTGACAAAAATCCACGCGGTTAGGTAAATCAGAGTCATTCAATTCTTGCACAGGTTGAAATCAATTGGTACTAATTATTGGTTGACAGAAAATGTCAATTTATTAATATGATAAATAATAATTTATTTGTTATGACATCCGCCTACTTTATTCTTACAAATTTTCACAATTACCCCTTTAGTGAACGATGAGGCATTTAATTTTTTTACTAGAAAACTATCGGTTTTATCAAAAAATTAGAAGATGTAAAAAAGTTGCGCAATAAATCAGTCTTCCTAATAAATATTTTGAAATAAATAATTTGCTTCATATAAAAAATTTCTAATAAAATATTGCAGTGGTGTTGACTGTTTCCCTCCTTTATAAAATACGCCAATGATCGAACAAATATTGAAAAGTTGCCTCTTTATTAGTAGGATGCTCATACCAAGCTTCGTGTCTCTAGCATTCCTCATGTTAAAGAAAAAAATGTGAATAAGGTATTTTTACTTCAATCCTTTTTTTTGGCTCTACATTCACTGGTACCATTTTTGCTACTTCATTTAAAAATACCCTGTATTTCTATTAGATAATTCACAAATATATATTGACAAATTGAATATACCTTACCGTCTTGCATCACATGAGGATGAGATGTATGGTTCACGATTGAAATATAGTTTCTAACATCTACAGCGTCTTCAGTGTTTAAAGATTCCGGATTCACTTTGTGGATAATAGGGGTTTCCCCGAAAGCGTACAACTCGTCGCCAAAGGGGTACACTGATATCATAGAGTTGTCTAAAGGTCCAACGTTAAACATGGCTGCGATTCTAAAATTTCGATCGACTTTAAGCTACGCACTAAAGTTTTTTCACTGTCGAATACCTCTGAAAAATCGTGTGACAGGGATCTGGCACCGATTTTGTTCCGAACTGTGTGGTGACGATCCTTTTTGCTGTAAACATTTGTTTGAACGTTTCGGAACGTAAAAATCTGCACTGGTAAGTTACTTCGCCGTTTTTTATCCCAAATCTGAAATAAATCGCTTAGTACGGAGAACCAAAGTTCTTCTAGGTCAAAATAGCAGTTTGAAAATGATTTATTGGCACTGGATACAAAATAGTTCAACTGGTTTACAAGAAATACGTCTATAAACCATTTTCAACACCATGCAGTGAGGAATCGGTATCTAAACGTTTTATTTTGACCTAGGAAGGAGCATCGTGTCGAAGTTTGTCCATCACATTAAGGGACAGTTTGTATAAAACAACAGAGCATAAGTTCGTACCTATGCAATAGCGCCAAGCTATCGAAAAGATGTGCAAATTCATGATCACCGACCTTCAGTAAGCCTGGACCGTTCCGAATCAGAGAACCGTTAAGCCAGTTTGGAATGTCGCCTAAGGATATTGTTCTTGTCAAAAGTACCCTTACTAATAGGACCTTTTACCTGTAATTTTGCCTTGTAAGGGTCCAATTACTTCCTCTTCGCATGATCGTAACCAAACGTTTGCGTCACAGTTAGGATACAGCTTTGTTTCTTTATTTGATGGGGAACTAATTTTCTAGAAACAAGTACACTTTATTTTTAAGGTTTTAGCAATAACAAACAAAAATTATAGTTGCCACCTGATCGTGACTGTTAGTCTACACTGGACACTGGACAGTGGATACTGGACGCAAAGTCCGTGACGGGAGGATAGTCCAGTGGAGTATATATTACATTTCTTTACAAACATTCAACTATAATCTGCAGTCTGTTTCCTTTTTCAACAGAAGAAAATCATTTTTAATATGTGTATAATTATGTTTATACGTACATCTTTTTTTATTAAAAATATTATGTATCTGGTATAGACGAATGTTTTTTAGAAATAAATAAAACAAAATAAAAATATCAACTTTTCCAATAATGAACAAACAACATACAGACCGACAAAAATAAGTTTGCACTAAGGCAGAGCTGCGCAAGATTGAAAAAGCAAGCATTCGGTTAGAAGAAATTGTACGCAGGAGCGCAAATGTCTCCATCTGTCGTGCTGTCTCCCAACTGTGCCATTCAAATGGCAACAGTAGGAAGGGACCTGCTATATTGCAGGTACTTGTTGCACGACTGCCACCCACAGAGGGCGAAGACAATGTTTTAATTGTCAGTGTTGCGAGAAACAACTACTCCGAGGACTATATGACCCTACCGGCATTGAATTATACTCGCAACACCTAGTGCAACAGCTAGGGTCGTTCGTCAGTTTACCCACCAGGCACAGACCGGTTTCGGACTTATTAGTCCTCATCAGTGTCATAGGTGAGACAACCGACGGACGAACCAGCTGTTTTGCGTCGTATCGTCACGACGAAAAAAAAAAATAATAAGAAGCAGTTGCCGTGTCCAGTGCGTATTTGTGGGCGGAGCTACCTCAGAAACAAACTTATTTGTGTCGGTCTGTAAGTACATCAATAAAATATGTTTTTCAATGAAATTTGTGCACAGTACAAATTATAATTCGTTTTCGCTGTTTTGATTATTGTTTATAGCTAAATATTTACGTAGAGAACGTACATACATCATTAAATAATATATGTATAAGTTTATAATTTTCATGTAAGCCACCCTTAGCTTTGAGGACCAGAAATATATATCCAGTATAGTAATACGATTTACGAATAACTTGAATCTATAGGTGTAAATTTTAACATTTTCTGTTGTAGTTAAAAAGTTGGAAAATATCTCATTAAAAAAAAAATATACACGGTGATTCACAACTTATCCAAACAAATTTGGGATTACATAAGTCAATATTGTAAAAAAATGTTTCGTAAAATCCATTTCCGAAAATCAAATTATTGAAGTTGTGGTATTTAAAACCCTTACATTGCTGGGCTACCGTAGTCTCTAGCGCCATTCGCTTTGTGCTCGTACGCAATCCGCTCACTATCCACGTGGCCGCAGGGGCGATACCAAATACTGAAATCCGAATTTAGTATTAACGTTTTTGCGATAGTGTTTACATTACTTTTTCGTGTCAAAAATGGTTCACGTGTATAGCAACACGGAGTTGATGGTGTCGTTTTAATTTATGGTGAAGGAAGATGGTAATTTTCAACAATTTTATTAATTAATAATGACAATAGCGGCAAAAACCGTTGAATTTGCTAGTATAAAATAGGTGTTACAAAATTTTTTTCCTTGTACAGATTTTTCATTACAAAAAGGTATATACCTACGATGTATATGTAATTTTTGCTGTGTAGGTAATAGAAAATTTTAAAAAATTACTTATTTTTTATTATACCTGTGTATTTTGTGATTTTGTGCTTCTCTAGAATAGAAATTAATATACCATAAAAACTCAGTACATACTTACCTCCCTTTTTATAAAACTCATCTGTTTCCGCTGAGGTAACGGAGACCATGTAAATATCGGACTAGTCTGTCCCGAAGGGCCTTTCCTATTTTCCATTTCTCTAAACTTATGCATTTTTAATTCTGAAATTAAGAACACGAACTTGACACTACTCTCCTCTGACGTCACCTCCTAATTGAATTAAAAGCCGGTTATATAAGGAAGATGGGATATTGATTTCTCAAGCGCTAATCCAATTTACAGAGGAATGAAGCAAAACAAGAATTTAAAAAGGAAATTAATTAGACTTTTATTCAGGACTTTTCACAATATAAATTTATTAAAACTAACTAATACTAGATAATTCTCAGTGCTAATTCCCCTTCGAATACCTTTTCCAAAATTTCTTCACGTCGTCGTGCGCGTATTTGTTTATGACTAACGTCCTTTTTTCCTTGTTGCACCATATTAACGAACCGTTGGACTGAGCGTACTCTTTCAGAACGTTAAAATCGGCCTGGAATAAAAGAAAATTTCGTGCATTATCTCATTATTGCCGATTTTTATTTTTTATATCAGTTACCATCTAGATTACAAGGCCTAACAGCATCGCGCGTGACGTCACATCAGTGGTGATAGATATTCGGTGAAACATTAAATGTCCTACTTGGAGTTAAAAAA